CGGCATTGTGGCCACAAGTAGGGAGAGCAATAATTAATGTTCTGATCAGATGAGGACAATCCCCGACATACCGTGGTCCACGCCGCGCGCTGCGCGTGTCCGGGCGGGATGCAACCTTTTAAGGTTCCTACCGGGATGTGATCCTTAGGTAGTCTCGTGCGCCCCCCCCCCCTTCCCCCCAATTGTGTCCCTTTGAGCAATACAAGGTATAAATAGAGGTTTAAGTGTAGACAAAGTTTTATCAAAAGGTTGTGGAATCATTGAAACTAAATGCAGCACATAAAGAAACAACTTCATATTTATTTTCTATTTTTGAACATCAAGTATAGAAAACCAACTCTGTGTCACCTATCACACTTCTTACATCTAGTTCTGATGTTTTGTACATATATACAGTAATAAAAACTATGGACAATATATTTTCACATATTCTTTACTTTCAGAACTTGAAAACACATCGTATAACACATAGATATTTGGTATAAAAGTGTCTGAGATAAAATATTGAATTTACACAAAACTCAGATCAATAGCAGAGAAAAGTGCATTAAATTATGGGATTTTGTTAAAATTTCATGCTAAGTTTTAGACCATTCTCTTTCCATAATTCTTCAAAATATAATGGTTGAAAGCAAAGAAATAAAATCCTACATTAAAAATGTTTGTATTTTGTGTCACCTGACCTACCTTGAAAATGCCCCCCATGAGACTGATTTTCCAAATGTATGGCATGATGTCAAAGGAAGATTGTTCTTCCAAAATAACAGGTATCACAGTCATATCTCTTATAAAGTTAAATTCCAATATACTTAAATATTTACAAGTCTCTAACAGTATTGTGCCAAAACACATATAACAACAAAGTCCCTTTGCATTTTAAAAATCAGCTCTATAGAAGACTGGGGTTTTAAAATAATTTGGGGAGCATAATTCAAGCACTGTTACATCCGCAAGGTTGTACAGTGTAAGCTGCTAGAAACCACTTAACAAATTTTAGTAGTGATTTGCAAGCAGAAGGTCAGGTGACATTTGCTGTCAGCAGGTGGAGGTTTCTTCTCCCTCCAAGGTACATGAAACATTCTCCAATTTGTGGGCCAAATGGAGTTTTTTGCAGTACGGTTCCATATCAAGTGAATCCAGGATCTGAAACAATCAGAAATAAAGTTTATGGTGCTGTGATTATCAGTTTCATTTAGGAATGTGTTACACCTAAAGTTGTTGCAACAATTTGTGCGTCAAAAATTGACCTCAACTCTCCCCCCTTTTTTTCCCTTACTCCGCAATCAAGCAGATTCGTTCTCTTTTAAAATTAGTATGACAGAGGTCAGAGAATGCTTACAGAGTGCATAGAATCAATCAGTGTCACTCCTCATTTCCTAGTACGGAGACGTAACTAGATGTGAATTCCAAATTTGTTTCATATTCTGAATTTTTTGTTACCTTTTGTTGCCTATGTTCAGGTCGGTTGTCACTAAAAATTTGTACAGAGCCTTACAAGCAAGCAAGGGTACTACAGTGAGTATATTAATTAGATACGGACCCAGTGGACAATGATCAATCATATACACATTAATTGTAACTATTTGAGAAATAATCATCTGTGCCCCATAATTTTGTATTTTTCACCCATTTTTCGTCAAAGCCCCCCCCCCCCCAATAAAATTCTTTATGTCTATGTTGTAAAGCTGTATCTACAATAAGGCGGAACTTCTGGCAAATTGAAGCTGATCAATAATACTGGAAAGTGCAGATAAGCAAGAAGGAAGCAGTAAACCAATCTACATAAGCTATTTGGTTGTATGTTTTATTTAAGGCAGAAATATAATTTAAGCAATGGCTTACAAGCCTCTGAATTAAAGTAACAACAAGGTTTACAAAGTTTACAAAATTAATACAAAACAACAGCTTTCATAAATAGATTGTATCTATAACTTTCTACAAAATATTTTTGCAATAAAATTTGCAATATACAAGAACAGTTTTTCATGCTAAAGGCAACAGCCATGCAGTATGAAAAGCATAAAAAAGCATAATATAAAAAGTCAAGTCACTGAAATCTAGTATTGTGTACTACAAAAAATATATATATCATAAAAAAACAGTGTTTTATGTCCATTAATGTTTACATATTTTGATCCAAGTATGTAAGGGTACAAATAGGCACACCCCTGAGTCAAAATTGCATCAAACAGAAATTAAATTTAAGCTGGTGAAGCAAGGCCTTATAGATGATTGAAAACTATACAGATTATATAAAATTGTGGTAACTTCCTGAGTACACTAAAAATGTGGGACATGCTCTTTACATTCTTTGCACTTGTCCAACAAACATTTTTTTCTAACTAGATAACTATGAACAATCTATACAGCATCTACTATCTACATATACTACAATATAACACATTTTACATACAATGCTACTCACATAAAGCTAATTCAGTCAGTTTAGTGAATCTCACATCACAAGTGTTGAAGTAGATAAGTACTAACTACTAGTAGGTCGACACTATACTTTAATATACATAACAATTATACATCTTTATTTGACTTAGAAAGGGAAACTTCAACACTAATCAAACTGATTTTGAAATCTTAAATCACTTCCTCCACATGAACAATCACATTGTGGTAGCACAGGGTGCCTTAAGGAGCCCTGTGAGCGAGTGTATGAGGATGTAGAAGGAGCATAGAGAGGTGTGTGGGGAGTAGGATGGGAGTTTGCCGCTTGAGAAACATATGCCGAGGAAGTTGACGCAAGGGTAGAATGAGGGTACTGATGAAGCAGAGCATATGTAGCTTGTGAGTGAGCATGGGCATGGGCTCTAGAATGGGCCTCCATTGCTGCACTCACCTGGTCGCTGTATTTGGTGACATAGATGTAAAGTTCCTTCAGTGCTGACACAGTGTCAAATTGACTTGCTTGAGATACAGTTGCTGACAGCTGCTGCATAGCAGTGCTCATTTCCTGGTCCGTAATTTGTGGCAGTTCAGCCACATCACAATAAAACCTGGCCACCATCTGCCGATAATTAGGAATGTCCTTTGCAAAAAGCAGCTTGTTTGATGGTGAGTCTTTTCCTAAACGATGCTCGCTTGTTGAACAGGCATCCATAAATGTTTGTGCTATCACAGACAAACACGAGTCTACAGTAGGAGTTTTGTTGATGTCAAAGATAAAATCTGGGTTCTTGATGAAGTTGACCCAAAACCTCAGGGGAAGACTGAATTTCATTTAAAGAAAGAAATTTTTTTTATTAATATCACAAGGAAGTAAATAAGAAGATATTTTGAAAACTGGTAATAAAGTAATTTTCAAGTATACTGACCTATTTGATTTCCATGCATGCACAACTTCAGGGTCACTGATGTTGTGTTTTCTTGCTGCCTCATCAAGGAGATCAAACAGCCATTTGACAGCAGGAGGTAGCATTTCGTTGGCTGTCAATATTGTAGTTAAGAAATCATCTACAAACTTTTGAATGGTACCCTTTGTAGATAACAGCCGAGTCAAGAAGATTTCAGGTATAGCTTTGTGTGTTCGTTCCCGATCTCGATCAACTGTTCCACTCTTTGAATTACTAAGGTAATGGGAGTCATCTACAGGTTTTACAAGGTGGAAGACTTTTGTATTGCCTCCTTGCTCTAAATCACAAGGAATGATAGGCGATAAAGAATTGCTGAAGTATCCAGTGCAGTTATGGCAAGCTTGTTTGCAGTTGGCATTGTTAAAGCTTTCATTCTGCCTAGGAATAAGAGACATTATGGCAGATGTTTTCACGCCGTAATGTGCTAAAGTATTTAATTTTTTCCATCCACCAATACTTTGGGTAGATAGGTCTTCATCTTGAAGTGTAAGATGGCCACCTCTTCCATGTCGCCACTCTGTAAAGCATTAATATATTTAGATACTACTAAAGGCAGCATGCTAATCACAAAAAAAGAAAATAAGGACCAAGCAGGCTACTTACCCAAGTCTACTTCATGAATAGATGGTCTCAATGAAAATGGAGTATTTTTATACAAAGCATCTAATATTTTTGACTTTACTTGGCTGATTGTATCACAGTCCAGTACCCTACATTGGATTTTATCATCCACTTCATCTTGAACAATATGAAGTGTCTGTAACAGTAGAATAATAAGTAAGTTGTTAACAGTTTTTTTTTTAAAAACGTCTTTTTTTGACTTGGCCACGTCATCACAAGATAGTAAATTATAACCAGTTCCCAGACAAGTTCACTGCTTACCTGATAGGTTTGGTAAGGTATTTTCTCATAATGAGGATCTTCTTGAACAAGATGAATGACCTGAAAAACAAAAGATAAATAAATTAAATACATATCTAAAATTAAACCGTTTTAAAAAGAATGTAAGGCATATTTTACCAATGATAACACTTACAACAGTTCCATGTTCAATTTGCTCACGAAGTAATCTCTCCTCAGAAAGAGAGTACCTTGCATCATGAATTACAGCATCAACAGGTCCCTTTTCAATTTGGTGCTTAATAGCTTTGTACAGAAGGAAAAGTGAAGACCCAGCACAATCTTTGAGGTAGCCATACATACACAATGCCATCCAGTTAGTAAGCATTTTCTCCACTACTGACTCAGTTCGACGAAGCATAAGCTGAGGATGCTTTGTCCCCACAGACTTTTCAATAAGCCTCAACAACAATGATCTCAGAACATCAGTTGCATACTCCATTTTGTTCATAAGAACTACCATTAGGAGAGAGGCAACATTTACTCTGCAAAAAAAACAAGAACAGCATTTTATTATAATTATTTAATACATGTTACCATAATACCGCTTCACAAGTTTCAGTAAAGAAAAAACATTAACTTACTTGTCTCGAATGTTAAAACTTTTTTGGGCCTCTAGAGTTTCAATAAAGGTGAGGATGAAACATTTGTTACTTAAAAGCTGTTCAAATTGAAGCATGGCAGCATCGTAATTATTACGAGGACCATTCATTCGGACCTACAAAAAAAAATTGTTTTAAAATAAGTACTTATTTGGATTTAAAACAAAGAATAACTGAAATACTTTAGGAAATACACATACTTTCGGTTCATTAAGGATTGGATGGTCTATGACACCAGGGAAGAAAACTTTGAGTATGTAATTGGTGTGATCAAGCATTGGTATGCCTGATGATACAAGATCAGCAGTCAGATCAGTCATATCAGTCTGCAACTCAGCAAAAGCTGCAAAGAAAGATGAAAGTTAAGTTAGTAAAATTTATGCATTAGTGATAACAGTGGACAAACTAGCTGTAATTTGAAAGGAAATAAACACCAGTTCAACAATGAAAAAAACATCTTGAAATGGACTTGTTTAACACAAAAGGTAAGAAGAAATGTTTAATACATTTTATGAAGCAGTTGGTAAAGACAAAATATATTCCAGGTTTAGACTGGCATCAAATGACAATTGATGCAAGTATAAACCCTGCAATAAAATCACATAAGACAGTAACAATTGCACTTTGCAAAAACAAGCACGTTAGCTCAATCACTGAACAAGAATGCATAGGTTAAGAAATTTATTAGATTATAATTACTTTTGAAAATTGTGTTAGAAATCACAAAGGCAAGGACAATATGAGTTGAGACTACATGCAGTAGCATCGGACCTTTTTTGAAATTGAGCAAGTTGCACACATGCTCCACCCGGCAATATCAGCTCAATAACAGATCTGCGCACAGCACATGGCAAAGCACAAAACAGAAATATCTGATGAAGGCATCCCTTTCTATTAACCGTAATCTATAGGTATATAATTGTATGCAGAAGAACCAGAGAAATGGATGAAATTGTAAGCATTTAGCACGTAAATTTCCTTGGTTGCTCGGAATACAAACTGTATTGTGAACCCTAAATATGTATTCTTTTTCAAAAAGGGAAATTTATCCCTTAATATTTTAATTCTGAGAATAGGTATGTTTACTGTAATTAGGAATAGTTAAAACTCTATTTCAAGGTTTGAAGTATTTGAGGAAATGCACAAAGAGAAATTTAGGCGTCAGAACATTCTATGAATCATTTTGTTTCTGTCTTAAACTACACTACAAAAGTTCAGAGGAGCAACTTCTCTTACTGAGTGCACAAATACCTTAACTGCTCTAGTGAAATTTTTAGTTGCAATTTTGAAAAAAAGGTTGACTCCTTCTGTGGCATCTCTTGTTGCCCACTGTGATGACTTACTGTTTAGTGGTATGCTCTAATCTAGGTATTTCTCAAATGACAGGATTAAGGATGAAACATAAAATGAATGCACCAAAGCCAACAATGCAATGCAACACGCTCTGTGATATTTCAAGTGCAATACCATGTGGTGTGAGGTCTGAAGTGCCATTGCGACGGGGATCCCATGTACACATCTGGACAAATGCTGGAAGAAATCAAATTTAAGGGGAAAAAATATGATTGAATTTGAAATAACTAGGAACTACCTATTGGGGAATAACAGAATTATTTAAGTGTCAGATTTTAAGTTATAATAACCTTTATAAACTGGTAAAAACAAGTATACCTTTTGTACAAAAGAAAAAAATATCACCAAAACTCAACCAAAATTACAAGTCTATATGAAAATGTAAAAATTAGAAACTTACAGCTCATGTAAGCTTACCTTGTTTACATTCAGATCGCACATTACTTTCCAAAGTGTCCATTTGGATTTGAATGCGTTTGTATTCCCTTTCTGCTTGAGTTGATTTTCGTCGATAAACAACTAATACAATGCCAAATAGAAAGACGAGGAAAAATGTTCCAGCAGCAATGCCTGCTATGGCTTCTGGAGGGAATGCATATGGCTTTATAACTTCATATCTGAGGTAGCCTATAGGGAACCGTAAGGATCTCCCAACTCGTACGACTACCAAAGGTAGGCCACTATCTGATCGGGCTCCAGATTCATCTGTTCCCGAAGGCTGAGTATCTGGTGGAGAGCAGACTAGCTGAGTCTGAGCTAGGGATGTAACATTACACTGACGTGTGCCAATGGTTACGTTCACATCAGACTCATCTGATGCGTAGTTCAAATTTTCACCCTGAAATATTAGTCATGACATTAACACACGTACAATAATTAAGTTTACAAAAAAAAAATAGACGTAAAAGGGCAAAAAAAGTACCTCAATTACAAGTGTGTCACCCTTATAAAGTTTGATATCCTTTGGGAATTGGAGGAATTTAGGATCTTCAACATACAGCAGTGTTGAAGGCAGTGAGGGGAAGTGTTTGTTGAGTTCAACAGCAGATTCAACATCATCCATGATAAAACCAATATGTAGGTCAATTTGAGGAGGTGATTTCCCTGTGTTGCTAGATCCAACAAGAGAGCGCAACTGCTTTCTTCTTGCGGTTTGAGGCCGAACAAGAGAAATTGTTGAAGAAACTGATGCTGTGGGAGATGATGAAGGGAGAGCAGCCGTAGAGCGACGTGTTCTTGGTGTTTCACTTAAAATTTTGCTATCAATAGGAGGAGAAGGGCATTCCATTTGAGCAGCATTTAAGACAGTGCAGACCTAGGAAAAGATAGAGAAAGAGGCATTAATAAGTTATAGATGGTATTGGATATTGTTACAGATATTAGTTTTTAGTCAATCAACTTACAGATCTGTTGATAGGGTTTGGATCACCTTCGACATAGACAACCATTTCTGGCTTTTGAACTGTGTCCAAATTAGTTCCATGGACAGTTATCATCCGGCCACCAGATGCAAAACTTCTAAGAGGCTTAATTTCAAGAATTGTAGGATCAACGGTGTAATTAAAGGGGTACCCTGCAAGAGTTCTATTAGCACCATCTATCTTCAAAGTAAGCCTTTGGATAGGTTTGGCTGACAGAGCTCTTGTTGTGATACAAGTTAGCCTAGAACTTGAAGCTTGTGTTGCATTGACATGACATGGCAAATCATCAAGCCAAGCCTGGACAGTGCTGCCAATGTTGAGATAATGTCCAGAAATAGCAAGCTGAGTGCCACCACTTTGAGGGCCCATGGGTGGGTGAAGGCCAGTGAGTTGAATGTCCTTCAAACATAAAAAGTTAACATACAAAATTAATACGAGAAATGTTACTTCACTTAAAAGCTGAAATAAAAGCCAGTTTTGATAATTTACCTTGTAACTAAAGCTCACAGTTGATTCTGTAAAGCCAGCATCATTTCCAACAATAACTGGAGCTGACAGTTCTCTGTCTGCTCTTCCTGTTCGACAGACAATACGCACTGATACTTCATATTGAGTGAGTTCACAAGGAGTTGTGCCAATTCGTATTTTCCCACGAACATCATCCTCTTTTAATCCCAAATTGCTGCCTTCAATCGTCACAAGGGTTCCTCCTTCAATAGGTCCACTCAGGGGTTTAATCTGTAAAAGATTATTGACACATTAAGGCTCAGAATACTATACAAAGAACAAATCTAAAAGCATAAAATTGTTGAGGGTGCTGTGGCAAATACCATATCAATTCTTGGCTTAGGACACTCATTAGCAGCAGAGTGAAGGCAGCTCTGAGAATAACTACAAGTGTTTCCACACCAGCTGCATTGATACTTGGCATTCCGAGTGACACACAGAGAGCAGTCCGGGTGGTCGCGATGAGATCCCAGGATTTCACATTTGTATAGAATTATGCTTGTAGTGTCAACATGATGGTTGCGATTCCACACAACACTCACTGTGGCTTCATACTCTCCTGTATTTGCCTCATATGAATACTTAAATGAAGAAAAAAAAAAAGTGTTAGGATTAATTGGAACTAGTATATAAAGAACTGAGAGGAAAAAGTTGGTACGGGTACTTACCGTGGTTTTGTCACAAACAATGTAGCGGCCACTCTCAACTTTAGCTGGGACCATCATTTTGGAAGTCTCAATAGTGACAATGCATTGAAATCCTGTGTGTCCAACTTGAGGATGGGGCAGATTTTCCACTTCAAGAAGAATTTCTTTGGCAACATTGTTGGGGCGCAAAATCTTTTCCTTGGGCGCCTTGAAGCGAGGACAGAAATTTGCTCCATGGTGAGTCAGATGAGCCGGGTTCTGCAAAAGAGGAAAACTTACGTCAGCAAAATTATGTAATTTGGTTATTTTTTCATCTCGCATAAAAGAGGTGAGTTCTAAGATCCTCTAGAATTAAGAAAAAAAAAAAACAAACAAACAAAAAACAAACAAACATATATTGTGGAGAGTTTCATGGGGCACTGCTGAAACCGCGCAGGGCCCGGCCCCGACCCCTCCCCGTCA